GTTTGGACCTCCTCGAGAACTCTGTCAATCCCGGGCGCCCTACTAGATATTCGATGTATCCGTGATCGTATATCCTTCATGTCAGAGGCGGTTCGCTCTATTGCTGCTCGCATCCTAGCCATCTCATCTTCTTGAGCTTTGATTTTCGCTACACGCTCATCGTCGAGTTGCGATTGCCTGGCCCAGAGGATGTTCTCCTCCTTCTCGTCTGCGAAATCTCAATCGTGCTCGAGGCGGGTATGGTTTCGTCGAGTGGGGGCTCGGTGTTTTCTCTGGACTCGCGGTGATCGTACAAATTGCGCTCGCCATTTGAATCGTCTTCCAGGTCTACGACTAGAGGCGCCTTATCGGCTGGAGGTGCGCTCATCGTTGCGTTCGGCTCGGCGGTGCCGAGGACAGGATAGGCCGATGGCAATCCACGGATTTTTTGTGCGCCAGTTGGGGTGGAAATTTTCAACGCCGTTGGGATGAGGCGTCCCGTGGATCCCCATATCGTGCTTGTTCATCCACCTCGGGTTCGGCTCACCAAGGCTGAGGTCCTTCATTCCTCGTTTATCGCCACGATCCGCACATCCTGCTCCGGCGACCTCTTGAGAAGCGCCGCTATCATCGCCTCCATCCGGTTGGAAGATTATGGCGTCATCTCTGTTGCTCCGGCGTTGTCGGCACCATTTTTCTTAGCGTTCGTCTTGTCCGTGCCATTGTTGTCGGTGCCGTTCTTGTCGGCTTCGGAGTTGTCGACGCCACTGCTCTCAGCTTCCGTGTGCTTCTCTCCGGATTGGTCTCCTATGGGCGTCTCGAACTCCTCGCTGGTGGTCATCTTCGCCAGATCTGTTGTAGTGTGGTTCTTTTTGTGTAAGAGAATCTCAAGTGTCTCTTTAGACGGCGCCAAATTGTGGAGGTCGAAACCAACTCAATTAGATTTATCAAGGGTTTTGAAGGAAAACAAGATCTCTGGAAAAGAATCACAAGAACTATCAAGAACAAAGACAAAAACACGAAAATTACGTTAACAAAGCTTTATTGATTCTTTGCTAAGTTTTTCTGCGTAAAGCTGCGGATCCCTTTCTCAAGGAGAATACAAGAGTATATATACAAGTTCTAAGTCTGCTAGGTCTAACAAATAAGAGACAAGGAAAGTTTCCTTATTCGTCGAAATTTCCTTTGTCGTAGTTGGCGCTAGTCACAGGTTTTGTCGTTGTTAGCTGGACCTCGTCGCCTCGCCATCTTTGGCATGTGTTCTCGGTCCAACTTCGTATAGTCGGCCAAATAAACTAATTTGGGTCGACCTTGCCGAGCTTTCCTGGGCGGCGTTGTCGGCATGAAGGCCAGTAATCGGCGGAGACGGCGGTCGGCAATGACAGTGGTCGGCTGAAGCAGCAACAGTTGGCAGGAGGCAACAGTAGTCAGCAGAATGCTCCAGTGTCAGGCAAAATGGGTCATTTCTTGCGAGTTGTCCATGTCCCTAGAGTGAACTCGGCACCTTCTCATTTCTGCTCATTTTCATACTTAGCCATTTTATGGAAGAAAACTACCGGAGGGAGTTTTGACGGTCTATTTCTTAATGAACGTATTTTTTACATATATAATATTGTATATATCCAGTAATTTGTTACAATTGCTTAACCTTCTAACTTAGATAATTATTTATTATAAACACCAAATT